TTTTTTTTTTTTCCTTTAATTTTTTTTTTTTTTTTTTTTTTTTAAGACAAAACGATCACAATTCTTTCTGTCAATAGCTCACGAAATAACGGAGGAGATTTATCTAGAGATTTATCGCTAAATTTATTGATCTACAAACAATGATTATTGCGTGAAAAACGACGTTAGGCGTTATTATATTCTTAGATCTCTCAAAGGAGTTATGGTAACTCAATCTCTTGAGTTAAATAACGTTTCGTTATTTTTTACTGCCATATGTGTCAAAATGTAAATCAATTCATTTCTTAGGCCAGTTTCAAAGTCCGGACTACTGTATGCATTTAGCATACATAGTATATAGTATGGACAGTTTGAAACAAATAAAAGAAGTACATCTGAGTCAAATTTAACACATTTTTTTTAGTTAAATTGTTTAATTCTATTTTTAAATTAAGGACATGTTGAATAGAAATAAAACGACCTACAGAAATGAAAAACGTCAAATTGGGTATAATTTGACATGAATTAACACAGCATGTTAATGAAAGATGAGAGACGAACTCGATGTATGACGCGGCAAGTGCCATATCATTTATATGCATAATTCTGTTATCGGCTCGGTAACGTAATATGTAGAGATAAAACTGAAGAAGTGCGCAGCGGAATAAAAGTATGAGCACATTCCGTCGACACACGCCGACGCTCAGAAATTCCTAGGATGTTTTGTCACGTTTCTACATAGATGAGATATATTTATTGCTACTGCAAACTATTTCATCTACAATATTTATTATTCCATCTACACAATCTACTGCGTGTGTTATGTGGGTTTGATTCTTAATCTTTAAATTGTTCGCTAAAGATAAAAACTATTTCTCGCACGCAAAGATCTAAGATAATGTGTAAATGTATATTTAAACGCCTAATAAATATTTATATGTATATATTAAAATAAATTTATAATAAAAATAATTCCATACAAGGCTTAATATGTACATGAGAATTTTATTTTTGTTGACTTATATGACTATTTCGTTCGACGGCTCGTTTATTTGACTGTCATCATTAGTCTTCGCTTGGCGTGTACCGACAAACACTCTCGATACCTTTCGGTTTGCGCAACTTAAGACAGCGAGAACAGTCGAGACAAAATCAATTCTTGAAACCCGAGAGGGAAACAGAAACCGGACGTGAGAAATGCGTCGTGCGCTTTATTGTCCCGCGTTCCGTATCGATCGCCGGCGTCGAGTCTCCTGTCGTAGATTTTCCTAAAGGATATATAAGCCTCTCCCGCCTAAAGAATTACAACGGAGTGGCACTTAAACGGCATTTGCTGCAACTTTTATGTTGGTTGTACTCGGGAATCACCAGTTTATTCTTCTTATAAAGAAAACTTCTGTAAGGAATCGTAAGAGGATATTTCCGATACATAATAAAAAGAGATGTAACTTGGCGTTCTCCTTCAATCTTCTTAATATAATGTCTTCACATTTTATGTTTGAGGATCAGCTATTCCATCTTCGGATATACTACGTGAAAATTTATCTACTGGCTAAACAAAAGAGTAAAAGAATAAGAGCATAAGAAAGTAAGAGAGTAAGACAGTGAAATAATCCAGTTTAAAATAAGTAAATAAATGTCCAGCAGTTAGAAGTTTATTTTGTCCCAATTCTACAATGAATTTCAGCTCGGTGGCAAAAGCGTTTTATTTTCTTGTCGAGAACATTTTGCGTTTATAAAAATGATGACAGACGACCCGAAAATCCGCTCCAATTTTCTGAACTGAGAGACCTGCTCCAAATTCCAATCAGAACTTTCCACTCAGAATTCTTCTACTTCTGTCCGAGTCTGCTGATATTTAAACACAATGTGTCACCGTCGAGGTGAAAGCGATAGATGCCGTAGATAGATGCTCACACCACAAGAATTTGGCCTAATATCAAAACGTAAAAATGTACGACAAAACTGGCGAATTGCCAAGATCGAGGGGCATTGTCCGCAGAGATGAGGAGGCAAGTACCGACGTAATGAACTTCCGGCAGCTTGGCGTCTTCTTATGAGAAAATCGATTGAGAAATTGTGAACCCGCTTCCCTATATACACAATACCGAGTTGCTGTTGGCCGACGTCCAATTCTAAGTAGGTTAACAGTGACTATGTATTGCGACGTTTCAAAAAAAATTGCATACCAATCATCGATCTCTCTGCAGCAAAAAGAACACTCGATTCTTTCTTAGCAAAGAAATTGAAAATTCGCGATCTACATTTCTGCAATTCCTTTTCCACTTTTTTATTTTGTACATACCAAGGAAAATTAAAGTATTAGATAAATATACATTGTATTAGGTATACAACTTTGCTTCCGCCGTTTTTTTCCGAAATTCGAGATTTTATTGTAAAAAACTGGTTATACATTTATGATTCAAAGTATTGACCATCGCTGGCCACTACTCTCTCCCATCTTTCGGGTAGCGTACGAAAAAACTGGTCGTCTTTTGAGGCTATCCACGAATCGATCCAATTTTTTACTTCTTCATAAGACCGGAAGTGCTGGTCAGCCAGGCCGTATGCCATTGATCGAAACAAGGGATAGTCAGAGAGAGCAACGTCTGGAGAATACGGCGGGTGGGGTAGGACTTCCCGTTTCCAAGTATGTCTTGACCACTTTCGCAACATGGGGTCGAGCATTGTCATGCTGCAAAATCACTTTATCGTGTCTCTCGTTGTATTGTGGCCATTTGTCTTTCAATGCTCGGCTCAAACGCATCAATTGCGTTCGATAGCGATCGCCTGTGATTGTTTCAATCGGTTTTAACAGGTCATAATACACTACGCCGAGCTGGTCCCACCAAATACAGAGCATGACCTTGGACGTCAAAATCACCGTTCTAGAAGCATTGAAACCAGTCACGACACGTTCTTTCACTAATAGCGGCCTCACCATAAGCATTTGAGAGCATTCGATGAGCCTCAGCCGCAGATTTTCTTCATATTGAAGCAAAAAATTAAAATCTCCCGCAAATGACGAGAATTTAACTGGCATTTTCAATCGAGAATAACTTTATGATGCAGACACAAATCGACTAATGTTTCTATGGGGTTATGTTGACAGATGCCCAAGTTTATTGTATGACGTCTATGATCTATTTATTTCGATCACCACTTATCGCTAAAGCCATCTATAGGAAGCAAAGTTGTACACCTAATAGATATAGATTGTAATGTTAGCAGAGTTTATTAAAGAATAAAACTGTTTAGCAAAAACTTAATGCACTGACAATGTACTTTAATAATAACTTCGTGAAATGAAATTTTCTATTTAAGGAACGCTACTAGGAAAAGCATTTCGTATTCAGAATATTCAATGAATAAAGAATTCTCAGAATATTCATTGTGTGAGCAAATAAAAAAAAACACAATACTTTCCCGATAATATTTTTGTTGATTCTGTATTGAGTGATGTTTTATTACAAGTATATTTCAATAGAGAGAGTGTAATCTGCAATGTTTTCAACAATTTGAAAGCTAGCCAAAGGAATCAAGTTACTCACGTACTCCGGGTATTTATCTTTCAATGTTGTTAAATGATGTAGTAATATGCAACAATTTCACCGGAAAATGTACCGTTTATAGCTGCTCCATTAATATTACACCAGTAAAGGCATTTCCGACAGCTGAAAGTAAGTTAATTTTACGCTAACCGGCGGCGGCTAAATTTTTAATCGTCCCGTAAAATACTGACGGTCGCGAATGAAAATATACCTCGCACAGTAAACGGGGATGAAACGATCAGACTCGAAAGAGTCGACAAAGTGTCATAACTTTTACATCTTCACGAGCACGTAGAGCATTAGAAATGCATTAGTTTTGCGGATAATCCATCTCAGGGACGACCGTCGTAACCGACGATGCGATCCTTCACAACAAACGTTCGCAAATCCTCAGAAATTAGCTTCCCGTTCTGTAGATACGCTTCATATATATTAAAAAAAAATCTTAATTTTTAAATCGTAATTAATAAAATATAATTTTTATATTTAATTTTACATTTAATTTTTTAGATATTAGAAACTTAAAAATAGTTAATAAACAAAATTGAAAGAGATAAATTTAGGGGAATTCCTTGTCAGAAACATTAATAACGTGTCGTGTTCATCCGACCGTGAATTATCCTACATGCCATTGCGTCCATGACAGCTGGTATTCGCCAGCACCAAAATCAATTTCCTGTTTGGGAAAAAAAAT